GCAAATTCTTTAAATATAAAAAAACGTACTTACAGTCATTGAGTGACAGTCATTACAGGCATTGTAGTCTACTCTACCAGGATCAGGAAACAGTCCTCCATAAAATGTGCTGCACACATCTGAATATTTGGGTTGAACTGTTCTGGAACAGTGTTGTAAATACAACTTAACCACTGATTTCTAGTCGTGACCTCTTTTGGAAGGCCAAACAAAGTAGTTTCGCTTTCACAATGAAACACACAGCGTTACACACGGCGGGCCTGAGTGAGCAGAGGCCTGCGGGCTAGAGTGAGGAACGGCCGGAGGACTAGATTGAGCAGAGGCGGCGGATTCGACGAAGGAGCGTCCGGCGGGCTTGAGGCAACCACATGTGACGACCCCGGGCTGGACTCCGCTTCGTCCACGGTGAAAGCCGATCCGGCGATCCACAGCGCGAAGTTGATGTATTTCCTCAGCGACCAGCACGGATCAGCTCCAGGCATGACGAAGCGGATATCATCCTTTTTTGGAAGGCCAAACAAAGTAGTTTCGCTTTCACAATGAAGCACACAGCATCTCCACGACATGGTGGCGGCGGCAGCAACAAACTTTGTTACAAACATCATATTGCAGACATTATGGTATGCTTTTTTTGTTTCCTGTATATTTTATTTTCGGTTTTCATGCACTAATACTATCTTTAAATTCATTGGTGTTTAATTGCCCATAATCCACAGTCTAATCCAAGATATTGTCCATCATGGCAAAATGTTATACTTGTTTTGTTGGGTGTTTCACACTCAAGGAGGATCTGCCACTTTGCTTTTTGTGTAGTAATTGTTTTCAGTGGTCTTTTCCTGAAGACATAACAGCAGTCTGATGAATATTGATTAAATGAAGTACACTTCACTGGAAAAGTGTGAAAGCCTTAAATTCACCTCTTTGTAATCACAATCTTCAGAGAACATGTAGATGTCCATGTTCACTTCCAGTCACTAGAAACAGAAGCACAGAGATAATTTTAGGTGCCATGTCTTATTGAGATTTAATGTGCAAGAAACGGGTTTAACAATCCTCCAGACTCACTTGATCCGCTGGCTTGTGAATCTTTATTTCCACTATGATCTTCAGACACTGTAGGAGACAGAAAACATAGTAAAGCATAACACATCTTGTGCTGTAGTGTTTAGGATGATGCTTGAATTGATGTACTGTATACTTACTATCGGGTGGCTTGTTAATACTCTTCCGTCGCACAAGTTTGAAGCCTCCAGAGTTGTGTGATTCACTGGCTTGTGAATCTTCCTTTCTGCTCTTTATCTCTCTCACTGTTTTATCTAGAGGTCTGTCTTTATTTTCTTCAGATACTACGAATGTAGTGGAACAGCACATTAGAGTTTTTATATATTTTTTTCACTTGAAACAAACGTTATCTTATTTATTTGTTAGTCAAAAGGGTTTCTAAAAGGTTAATGTATGGCTTTCAGATGCTTTCCAGCTTCAAAAAGGATGCAAAAGCACCATAAAGTACTATAGTTTGTACAACTATATATTAAGACCAAACAATATCTTTAATGAGGAATGACCACAATTAAAGTCAGTCATTTGAACTCAAGAACCAGAACAGACCAGATTATATTTTTAATTGAAAAGATCAGACTCAAAAGAAAGATTTGTTCACAAATCAGACATCACCAACTGAAGATATAAATAAGTTGAATGAACTTTGCCTTTGCATTATTTTGCATTATTATCCCCATTCATTGTAACTGCATGGAAAAGAGTTGGTTTACATGATTTAGAAATATACAGAACATTGTTTTCACAAGTGTCTTCATTAGTTTAAGTGGGGTTATAAATGTAATAAAATATGAGATTATGGATGGTGTAACCACTTACAGACAGGTGAAGTTGACTCATGTCCTGATCCACTGATTACATGTGTTTTCTCTTTATGCTCCTCTTGTATGTCTTGTCTATCCAGAACCCCTTGAAGTTTATCCAAATCTGTGGGCAGATTTCTATCTAGTGTTTCCTCCACCTGTTTACTAGCCCATGTTTCTCTTTCATCTGCTTCCATCAGTTTCTTTTCTAGCTCACTTTTCTTTGCTTTGAGTTGCTCAACTTCTTCTTGGAGTTCTTCAGTTTTATTTTTCTGTTCATTCTCGCGCTGAAGAAAAGTTTCAAACAAGTAGCTCTCAGTCTCTTCAGAAGTCTTTAACTTGCCTACCAGATCATCAATAATTGAAGAAAATATATTTCTTGGGTTTGTCTCACTGTCTGCCTCTAATTTTTTAATCAGTGGATTCTCATGGGAACTTGAAATGACCGGTTGCACCGCATGCTGACTGGTTATGCGTATAAAATGATCAATCATGAAACATTTCAAAGTCTCTTTGTCTCTCTTTTGATTATACTCTGTTTCTGCTATTTTAAGCATGTCTTGTGCATGCTGGTCATCTTTTTCTGCTATGTCGTTTCTTAGTTTGTTTTCAATAATTCTGAACTTTTCTGTTAATTCATTCACTTTTTCGGAGTGCTGTTCTTCTTTCTTCTTTAAAAGTCTCTCATTTTCTTTTCTCATTTCTGCCTGTTTTTCCTTTTCCCATGATAAAAATGCCTTTTTCATGAGTTTTTCATATGATGACTGAATAAAGAATGTGGATTCCTTGTTTTGTGTCATTATTTCAGTTTCTCTGAATAGACCTTGAACACTTTGCTCATTGTCCTCTAATGTATAACACCTATTCACATGCTTCCTGACACTGTCGATCCCTTTCGGTTCAGTTCTTCCAATGATCAATAACACAACATAGTCTAGAGCTTCTTTGCCAAACACGTTGGCAATTTCTTTTGAAATATTATGCTCCTTCTCAGTCACTTTCCTGTTGTTGACCACTAACAGAAATGCATGCGGTCCAGGAAAGACCTGAGATGCATAATCTACCATCTCATCTTTCATAGATTTGTCTCTTGATTCAAAGCAACAACGTGATGCCTTATGACTCATGCAGGTGGAAGGTGTTTTCACCACACAGATCTTTCTGCCAAACACATGACCTTTTCTGTTCCGTATTTCAGTTCTTTTGGCTCTTTCCCTAAGAATGATGTCACATGCAGCATCCATACGGTCTTCATCACCGCCGAGCATAATAAATCTAAGCTCATTAGTGGAGCCAGTGAATACAGTGAATGTATCATCTGTTGAAAAGAGGTCAAATGTAATTATATTTCAATGAATGCAGACAAAGATATACTCTGATGTTCAAAAATAAATATTCAAAATTCACAAAAAAAAAGATAATTTGATATTATTTCAAAATATATGCATTTGTTTTTATCCAGTTGTAGTCCAAATCAAGTGCATTTATTATATGTACATAAATATATTTAATGGAAAAAAAGGACAGCAGTGCAAAGTAACATTTCAGTAAAGATTTAGTCATACAATCTGAAATATGACTTACATTGGTGTGTGTATCTACGTTGCTCTGTTGGAAAAGAGTTGTTAAAACTTACTTTACATAAAACTTATACAAAAATTAAATTCATTTACCATACACACTAAATATTATTGTTTTGTTTATTTTCTGAGTTCATAGTAAAATACTAAATTCCTGAAATAACAAAATGCTTACCGTGGCTAATGAGTGGACCTGCACAGAAGAAAATAAGACACAAAAATTTAGTGCTCTTTATTAGAATACCAATGAAAATAGTTGGATTTTGGTTTACTTACGCAAATCTGAATCTTCACTTTGCTCTAAAAAACACACATAACATTTGTTATTCGTGCCTGATAAATATAACAAGAACATCCATGTTTGAACTGAACTACACAGTTGGTAAGAAAAACTTGTTTACAGGAATGACATTTACAACAGAACTGGCAAAGCATCACAATCATAAACTAATTTCAACTCTCCACAATCGGAAAGAGAATGCAGATCAATAACATTGGTTATTGTTATGCAATATTGAAAGTGTTACCTTCTCCTGGTTGTATTGCTGCCATCTTAGTTGCTTGTAAGAATGGTGAAGTCCATCAACTCATTATAAAAAGGTTAAAACTGAAACAGTCATGAATGGATAATATATCCCTGCAAAATCAGATTGGTGTCCGATTCACGATTAATTCAGACCAAAAAAATGTGTATAGCCCTGTGTGCAGACTGCAGACCTGTTTACTAAGAACAGGATGTTCAATTGCAGATAGAAAGGAAGTGCCAACCACAGAGTGAAGAAAAGAAAGGTCTACATCCTGTGAAAACTGATAATAGAGCTGAAGTGATTGCAGTAGTAAGTTTCAAGTTTAAAGAATATATAGTCTAGACATATGTGTTTAAACATCCAAAAATGTTATTTACATTTCCTCCACAAAAATGTATTAAATAAAATTATTTCATATAATTTGACATCCCTGATGTTCAGCTGCCCAATTGGCGTCACTTTTTAACGCACAGGGTACCCTTTTAGCATAATTTTTTCGACGTGCAGGGTCCTCCATTGCTTTAAATAAGAACCATTTGGCGTCAATATGCAGACGCGAAAGGCATATTGGGAATTTTATCGTCATGATTAAATTATATATTGGGTAATACTTTTGCCATTATTGCATATATGTTCAGGTGTGATTTTTCTATGTAAACGGTCACAACAATTTTATTTACATTACACTATTTACACATGTATGAGCATGTAAACCAGCCCCTACCCCTAAACCTAACCATACATTTGTCAATATAAAACACAGGATTTAACAGGCTTTAACTACAGTCACAATTTATTCAAAAAGTATTAACATTCCAAGTCTTCCGAGGCTAAACGATTGATTTGTGAGAGGAATAGACGCGATCACCATGTCCATCCGCCACACAGTTCAGATCCTGTGTGCAGTCTGTGCACAAATAAAAAAATTAGGCTTGTTGGAGATGCGCCGCGCCGCGCCTGGCGTGAAATGAAGGCGAGAGTAGGCGGCTGCAGTGAGGGCAGGAGTGAAATAAGCGCAGGCAAGACGGACAGTTCTGACCTCTCCAAGTGGAACAGATACCAACCAAAGGCGAATATCGTGTTATTCTCACTCATGTGCTATGTTGCTGATAAACATGATATGATTTCAGTTCTTTTGCTTTTATATGAAAATAAATATGATGAAGAAGACACTCAAAGCGCTTGCTATTTAATTCCATACGAAAGGCGTCGTTGTAAAGGCTCCTTTAAGAGAGTTTTTATTCTGATATTGTATGTCATCATCCGGCTGAGTAGTCTCGTGAGTTGAGCCGCTGCTGTTGTTGAACGATGAATGGACGTTAATTCCAGTTTATTTCTGATATTTCCTGCAGAAGTTACTTTGAGGTGTTAGTCATTGACCTACAAGTAAGCCTGTTTGCTTTATTTTTGTGTCTATGGAGATCGGTATTGAGTTATTTATAACTCAGTCACACACACGTCCAGACATGCCCACAAGCCGTTGTTTCTGTTTAGATTAATGATGCTGTTATATATATGATTATTTCTTCTTTATTGAGATGTACATCACTGTTTTGGTTTTCAATGTTACCTTTATGACGTGATTTGACATTTCGAGCTGTTCATGATGCCAAACGAGCGATCACTGTGATGTGCCGCGATTATATCCATATATGGAGTGATGTTTATCATGTCAGATGATCGCTTATGGTTTATAATGTACAATGTGATACCTTTTTTCCCTTCTTGGATTGTATATTTCACAAAACCATGTTAATGATGAGGATTTAGTATGCTTTGGCTGTCTTTATTTACCAATGGATGTTATAATTGTATATGCCTAGTTATTGTTAGTTATTCATTATCCTTTATTGTATTTCTTGTGTTCCAGACTAATGCCTCTACTGCCTGTCATTGATAATCTCCTATCAATACATTCCATAAACCTGATCACCGGTGTCCTCATCCTTATATAATTATTGTGCTCTAACCGGCACCCAGGGGGTTCACTCATCCCAGTCTGAATCAGATCCTGAAAGTCAAAAGTCTCTCCAGCAGGCGTATTTATCATCCATTTTTACTTTAATACAAACATGTAGCCTATTTTATATTTTTATAAAAATATTAAAACAATCACATATCTCACACCGATCGCACTGTCATAGTGTTTAGGAATTTAGGTATTCACGCATAATTTAAATACATAATCACATGAAATCAGATATAAAAAATGTAACATTTTAGAAGAGAACTCAACATCACGGTTGTCTGAACCAATGAGCATTAAGCTGTGCAGTCGTTTTCCCATCATGCTTTTGATCAGCGCAGTCGGTGGAGAGCAACTGCGCTCGACTGCACAATCCGACACAGCCTTTTGGCACACATCAGCATGACATCAGAGCAAGTCGGACGTAACTCGGACACTTATCTAACCGGCATGCATTGTTATCAGTTGTACTGATCAGGTAAAACATAAAACAGAGAAAATTAAAGTTATTACAAAAGGTGCTGAGAAATTTTTGTCAGTCAGAAACCTCTCTTGGGAACAGATTACCAGAAGACTTGAGTCGGAAGGAAGGTCTTCAAGCCAAATTGGATAGAGTTGATGTTTATAATTCAATGGAATGCAAGGAGTCTATTGGCAAATGGACAGGAATTCAAAAGTTTTATCAATGATTTAGAAATAAAACCGGACATAATTTGCATCCAAGAAACTTGGTTGAAACCAGCTTTAGATTTTATAATAGCAGGTTATGATAGTGTTAGGAATATGCATTATAAGGTAATGGTAAAAGGAAAGGAATCGGAATTTATAGTAATTGAAGTTTGGACAAATGAAGGAAATATTAAAATAGTAAATTATTATAATCCTTGTAAGAAAATAACATTGGAAAACATAGAGGAACTTGCAATAAATTTAGAGGGTAAGGTTATTTGTTGTGGAGATTTTAATGGGCATAATACGTTGTGGGATAGTTATAATGATTCAAATGGGGAAGTAATAGAGGAATTAATGGAACTAAAAAATTTAGTATGTGTAAACAATGGAGATGGCACTAGAATAAATGTGGTAAATGGGAAGGAAACGGCAGTTGATATTACAGTTGTATCGGAAGCTATAGCAGGATTATGTTGGTGGGAAGTTAAGAACGATAGTACGTTAGGAAGTGATCATTATCCAATTTTTATAGAAATAGGTATAAAATGAAATAAATGAGTCAAGTGGGTCAGAAAGATGGGTATTTAGTAAAGCAGATTGGGTGAAATTCAGGGAGATAAGTGATGAAATGATGGGAGTAATTAATAGTGGTGAGGAAATAGAGGAATTAAATCGAATAGTTTGTGGAGTTATAATAGAAGCAGCAAAACAATCAATTCCAAGAAGTTTAGGGAATAGGAGAAAGAAGATAGTCCCATGGTGGACGGAAGAATGTGGGAAAGTAATAAAAGAAAGGAACAAAGTTTTTAAAATACTTAAAAGAACACACAATTTTGAAGATTTAATCAAGTTTAAAAAGATGCGGGCAAAGGTAAGAAGAACTATTAAAACAGCAAAAAGGGAATATTGGAGATCATTTTGTGAGTCAGTGGGAAGAGAAACAGATATTTATAAAGTATGGGGCATGATAAGGAAAATGAATGGAATTAGGAGAGAGTTTAGATATCCTACATTAATAAATAATGAAGGCACAGCTGTGACAGAGAAGGAGAAAGCGGAAATGATCATAAAAACATTTGTCAAAATCCATAGTTCGGATAATGTCAACGAAGAAGGGAGGAAAGGAAGAGAGGGAACAGTTTTAAGATATAGGGAGATAAGATATAGAGGTAGATGATATACTTAATTTGCCATTAACAATAGGAGAACTAAATAGTGCATTAAGAAGTACTAGGTTATCAGCGCCGGGTAAAGATCAGATATGCTATATAATGTTAAAAAATTTAAGTGAATCATCAAAAAGTATTATTTTAGAGTTATATAATAAGGTATGGGAAAAGAGACAGTTACCTAGTTGCTGGAAAGAAGCTGTAGTAGTTCCAATACGTAAAGCTGGGAAAGAAGGTAAAAGTCCAAGTGATTACAGGCCAATTTCTCTTACTTCGCACTTATGTAAGGTAATGGAAAAAATTATAAATCAGAGACTAACATATTTTATGGAAACTAAAGGGAATATTTGTAATTATCAAAGTGGATTTAGAAAAGGTAGATGTACTATGGACCCTACAGTATGTTTGGAACATGAAATACGAAGAGCTCAGGCTAATAGAGAAAGTGTAGTGGCAGTATTTTTTGACATCGAGAAAGCTTATGATATGATGTGGAAAGAAGGGTTAATAATTAAATTGAGAAAAGCAGGAGTTAAAGGAAAAATGATAAAATGGATTAAAGGTTTTCTATTTGGAAGATCTATTCAAGTAAAGATTGGGAAAGAATTTTCAGAGATAATAAAGGTAGAAAATGGAACACCACAAGGGAGTATAATTAGTCCTTTATTATTTTCTATTATGGTTAATGATGTGTTTTTAAGTGTTGAAAAAGGAATAGGAATTTCTCTTTATGCAGATGATGGTGCAATCTTGAAACGAGGGAGGAATTTAGAGTTTGTTGTAAGGAAAGTGCAAGAAGCAATAACAGAAGTAGAAAGGTGGTCATATAAGTGGGGTTTTAGATTTTCTGTTGAAAAAACAAAAAATTTATTATTTTCAAAATGTAGGATTAGTAAAGAGGTCAAATTGAAATTATATGGTCAAGATATAGAAAGAGTAGATTTTTGGGTATATGGTTTGATGAAAAACTCACGTTTAAAATACACATTCAAAAAATAGTTGATCAATGTAAAAGGGTAATGAATGTTATGAGATGTTTAGTGGGGAAAGAATGGGGGGCTGAGAGGATGGCTCTAAGAAGTATATATACGGGTTTGATACGATCTGTATTTGATTATGGGAGTATAGTGTATCAATCTGCTGCTAATAGTGTGTTAAAAGAGGTGGACAAAATCCAGTACAAGGCATTAAGATTATGTACGGGGGCGATGAGATCTACACCAACTGCAGCCTTGCAGATTGAAATGGGAGAAATGCCTTTAGATCTTAGAAGAATTGAACTGTCACTAAGATATTGGGTCAATATATTAGGATATAGTCAAGAACACCCAGCTAGGGTAGCTCTAAAACCTTTCTGGGAAAACGGAAAG